ATAAATAATAATAATAAAAGTCGCTTTCTTTTCAAACAAATATATATTAACAAATACACAATATGAACAAGTAAAGCACCAGCCAGTGTTTAAAATTCAGAACAAAAATTACTTGCAACTGTGCAAGTAAAAAATTTTTTATTTGCACAATTATAAATAAAAAAAGTATTTTTGCTTATACAACTGCAACTTTTGCAAAAATATATATATGTTATATATAAATTAATAATTTATCTGAAGTTGCAACTTAAAATATCTAAAGCAGCACCTAATTAGAATTAAGCTTCTGAAATTGGATCTTTATGTATGTATAATTCTAGTCAAGTGCTATTTTAGATATTTAAAATCACAATTTTAGATAGGAGGCATTTCAGATATAATATATATATTATATAATCTTGAAGCAATTTTTTTAAATTTTACTTGCATATGTTGTATGTATGTTTTACAAAATACTTGCACATTTAGAAAAGCTCTTGCACATGTGCACCTTGTGCAAGCCAATTTTAAACATTGACATCAACCAGCATGAGCAACAGTGAACAAAACCCACATGACCATGGCAAATTTCCTGACCAGTTGCAGCCTTCAACACCGGACAACACCAGACTAAGCTCAACATCGACCCCAAGATAAAGTTGTACATTGATGAGTTTATCTGTGTAATAACAACAGCAGTCATTAGCTCTATCAAGCAGTACACTGACTTTTTGTTTGAAAAACAGAGGCTTTGGAATAAACAACTGCAAATAAACATTAACAGCACCTTAACACAAATAGTGCAACCAAACATGCCTAGCAGCACCTTGACTCATGTTGATATCTCTTTGTAAGTTGAGCTCACAGACTTATCACAGCAACAGCAAAGACTATATTGTGCATACAACAATCCTCAAATAATGGATAAAGAGAAAGAAACTACTCTGGCTTCAGGTAAATACTCTCCAATTCCAGTTTTAAATGATCTTATTACAAGAGCTTTAAGGTTAATATCCAAGGACAAGCTCTACCAACAACAGCTTTGCCACTAGCAACTGCCTCTATGTGGTCAGCAATGTTATCCACGGTTGTTCAGCTGTTTAAAATAATACCAAAAAAGTATCCTCCTTTGATTACATAAAGTTTAAACATATCTATGATGTTCAAGGATTTTTAAACCCTCAGGCCGCCAAAACTGAAAGAATATGATTATGATGGGTCTCTAATTGGACAGAGGGTCAAAGAATTATTGAGAGTTTGCTGTACAAGCCTAGTATATTAGCTAAACTTTAACAAGCTGTTGCTTTCAGCTAATATATAAACCTCCAAGATTTTATATATAAGAACCTGCTATATCAGAAAATTTTTTTTGAAGATTTGCATCGATTACTACCAGCAAGGTTATTTGTTATTAATTTTTTTATATAATATATATCGATTATTAACTATATATTGATTTATATTACTAATGATATATATTAATTATTGGCCAGAGTGAAGTAACAGACTCATATGCACTTAAATGACCGAAATTACTATTTGATGCATCTATAATAAAAATATCAATAACATAATTTCAGTATTTTCTGTTTATAATACCACATGTTTAAATTTGAATATTTGTATAACAATAATATAAAACAAAACTTTTGCATAACAAATCACATGATTGACATATTTTATTGGGTAATTCTATTTTGACCCGGGTTATTTTGACTTGTCACGTGATTTGCGGCACTGTAGCTTAAACTAAACGTCAGCTATCAATTTAAAAATGTACGTGACCTCTATTTTTAATTTGAGCCAATCAAATTATACGATCAGGCTAGTTTTAATTAGGTTCAATTTAACCAAATTTAGGTCCAAGAGAACCTAAATTAGATTCAATTGAGCTTAGAGTCAAGCAAACTAAATTGGTTCAAGTCAACCCATTTTAATCGCAGAATTTAGATCATTTCACAAAGTTTTCGAGAATTACTGTATCTTTATAACCATGAACTGGTACTGTATCTTTATAACCATGAACTGGAATGAATAGTAATGACAATACAAACAACCGGAATAGTTTGTAATATTGTTACAACCATGGGAGAAACTTTATATTGGCTGTGCCAATTTAGCTTAGGGTCATAAGCATTAAAAGAGAAGCTAATTGTTTATTAATACACAAAAAGTACAAATAATCCAAGCAATACAAGTAAGTATCTTATTA